AAAAAAAAATAAGTTCGGTTTCTTTTGGGTACCCCCTCGTATATTTTACTTTCTCTACTGAAAACATTAACTGCAAAATGTGTAGGATCACTTCATACACTCACATGTCTCTCTTGAAAAGTTTATTAATTAAGACACATTAGCAGCTCATTCTGTTCTAAGATTAAAATATTTGGAAGGAATGCAACAATGTGTTTGTATTAACAAAGTTTATATATTGCAAAAGAAAGTTATTAGAATTATAAGGAATTCTAGACCAACAGAGTCTTGTACGGACATTTTAAAGAAATTGGAAATAATGACATTCTACTCTCAGTACATATATTCATTACTTTTATACGCAATTAATAATAAACATTCATTTAATTTTAACAATGAGATTCACAAATATAAAACTAGAGCCCTCAATAATTTATATTTACCTGCAGTTAACCTAACAAAATTCAATAAAGGTGCATACATATCAGGTAATAATATTTTTATTGTGTTAACTTACTCAAATTAGTTTTCTTCATCATTTATGTTTTATGTAAAAAACCTAAAAAAATAAAAAAGTTGATTAATATAATTCCAACATAAACTTTAGAAACATCTACAGGATACAGCATAATGTAAACAGCATACATAAATACAATTTCCCAATAGCTGAGCATTATAAACTGTGACAGCAAAATTTCTAGGGACATGGACAAAGTTTAAGAATTTGGTATCCTCTGCACACTTATTCTTCACACCTGCACACCTTTGCATCCCCTAATCCAACTCAATGCCAACAGTTAAACATTCCAGAATCATTCACATCTCTGTTACCAGTACAGTAAACCCTCCTCCAACATGGACTTGATTATACATGTGCAAATAAACATCAACAATTAACTGTCGAACATGGAAAACTGATTACATGCAGTCTGCCAAACACACTACAGTAGCATACAAAAAATACTACTACGGTTCAAAGAGCTAAAGGCAATTTTTTACTTTGTTTTTGACAACACTGCCAGTATCAGGTATAGTGCTGATGACAGGATGATTAATGAATATGGAGCAGCTGATGGAATGAAAAACAGTTTAGCCTACACAAAAGTATTTATACAACCAACTTAATTTGTTTTATTTGGAATATGCAACAATGTAAATATTCAGATCAGCTGTCCTGATAACTTCAAACAACATGGATCCCTTGAAGAGGTCACTTTTGAGGGATATAATAACCCTATGGGTTTGCTGTAATTTAAACTGAAGAAACCCAATTTTTAGTCATTTTATTTTACAGTCTTGCAATGCAAAAATGTTTAACTGATATTATTAGGTACATGATCTGTTTACAGCAAAGGATACCAAAACATATGGACAATGGTATTAAAAAATTGATAAATATGAAACAAACAGAAACTGAGATGCAAAATTAATAACATTTAGTTAAATTTACACTGCCTGAAGGCAAAAAGAGGTCCTCTGAGGCTTGTGTCACAGACAAATACAAGCACCTCTGCACCACAGAACCTGCTTCCCTGACATCTGACAACAATAAACATCTCAACAAATGTACTTTCTTACCTTAAGCAATTACGACCTTTTGTGATGAAAATATGCAACAAGATCCTTGCTGCTACATACACATTTTTAAACAAATGAAAGACCTGTGTCTGTGAATGTTAAAATACAGACAGCAAATGGTAATGGAAAAGAGCCTAGATGATGTATAGGAAATTGTCATAACCTGTGGGTCATTTCAGACTTCACACATCCTTTTTATGTAGCCACATCCTGGTAGGGAAAAACCACTGATACAATGGGAACCTACGACTGTGTAGATAGAAACCTTAGGACATGCAAGACTGTAACACAATTTATTCTCATTATGAATCACACAGACTCCAGATGGTTTGCACATTATATGACCCAACACATTTATATACAACATTCTTAAAATTGGTTTTAGTGTGGAACTACATGATGCATTACCACATTTCCACTCACAATAGAATGTAAAGCTAAATAAAAGGACCCCACTCTTTTCCTTCAATTTTTGGCATGAAAATATAACTTCTGTTTTATAATCCACTACAATTTTATGCAGTGAAAACAATTATTATGGAGACTTGTAAGCTTTGTCTATTTTAAATTTTTAGGAGATTAAAGGAGTAAAATGGTACATGAACCCACAAATGATGCAGTGGTCTTGTCATCCATCAAATTATAATATGCCATAACATTACCAGCCTTAATATTTCTATGACCTAAGGTAATGGAAAAGAAGAATAATAATTGCACGTTATAGCCTCCAGATCTTCAACTTAAAGTACCAGTACATCACATCACATGCGATACCAACAACTTCCTACAGCAATGCATCACTTCATTTAATATTGCTCAACTTCTAGTTAAAAAAAATAATATAAACTACAATAGGTAATATTTTCATGTATTCCCATATTTAGAGATGTAGCTTTCAACTGCATTATTACCATTAACTGCACACTGTACATTTCTATCTCACATCCTTAAATTCCCAAGTAGTGTTAATCACTTTGCGGATTTCCAAGATAATTTGTTGATAGGAAATTTCTATGATGATCTTACATCATATATTACAAATAAGGAAAGGGAAATGTATCCCACAAAAGAACATGTATCACTTCAGACCACTGATATCATTTCAAGTGCTAAAGAATGAGAGGGATTTCCCCTCAGTATTAGTCAGGATTGAGAAAACAACGGGCATTTTGATATCAGCGGGGCTTCTTTATATGCAAATATTTCTTGGCATTATGAAAGCAGAGAACCAAAATGATGAACTTCTTCTACCTCATTTCCGACAATTTAAAGACAAAAATTGCTTGCAATATTTTTTTCTTTTTTGCATGCCAGTCTGCTTAGCAGATTAATGGATAATTAATGGATAATTCCTAACAATGAAAGTTACTAATTCCATATCCCATGTTGAATAAGTAGGCATCCTCTTGTGCTCTTCTTCCTCGATGGCGTAACAACCAAAAGTCTTGCATATGTGTACTGGGACATGTTCCATTGTTTTTCTAACACTGACATGGAATATATCTTCATATTGATTGCGTTGCCCCTTTGAACCTATTTTCACACATAGAAAAAGCATTATATCACTCCGCAAATGCTACTTATAATTAGGATGAAGAAGAAGGATAACTCCTGAAATCTTTTCGTGAAGTTCCAGACAACCCCACCACATTCTGTATCGAAAGAGAGTCCTTTAAATTAACCTGAAATTTTCTCCACATGCTGGTTTTTCTGCAGGTTGCTAAATAGTCAATCCAAGGTTGTCCTCATCACATGTAAGTCACTGTTGCAACAGTTCAAACCCAACTTTTACCTTCCTGGAGTTATCTTGTATATTTATTATATATGCTGATTCTTCCACACCTTCTTATATGTATAAAGGTAAAGGTGTCTCTATGCTTAATTAATTAAACACTATGCCACGAGGACATACGGGGGAGGGGAGGTATAGCTCCATCATTCTTGACCTCGGCACTAGATGGAGGTGAGTGGTCAGCTTCATGCCCCAGCTGCTTAACCTCCAGGGAAACTGGCTCTGATACCCACTAGATGCACTAGATAGCAGGCTGTGTGCCCCCACTGCTGGTCTGGATGCTATGGAGAACAGTAAAATCTTTCCCCTGTTGGGAATCAAACCCTAGTCATCCAGTCTGTAGCCCATATGATGGGGATATATGTGTGTGTGTGTAATCAGTATACCATTAAAATCATGGAGGATTTGCATGTCACTGAACAGATGCTGGCCATAACATTCATAAACAGATACCATCTATACTTCTGCCTCATCACTTTCCCCACTCCTGCCCCTTGTATCAGTCAGTATAACAACTGGCTACAGGCTGGACAACCGAGGGGTAAGAGTTCGAGTCCTGGTAGGGTCAAGAATTTTCTCCTCTCCAAGTCGTCCAGACTGCCTCTGGGGCCCATCCAGCCTCGTATCCAATGGGTATGGGGGGGCTCTTTCCCCGGGGGTAAAGCGGCCGGGGCGTGAAGCTAACCACTCACCTCAAACTAGTGCCGAGGTCAAGAAAATGTAGATCTATACATCCACTCCCCACACGCCTTCATGGCGTAGTGCTTATGGGCGACATCACCTTTACCTGTGCATGCTGACACGAAAGACGTCTGGATCGGTCTGGATTGCCTTGGATTTTCCCAAATTCATGCATTTCCAGTGTGTTAGATGTGATGTTTCATAGGTCAGACCAAAAATACACATCCTGATAGACTACTTGCAAGTAAATTTTGTGAAATAGATACTTGATCGTATTTCTGGTGTGAAGGTTAGCTGAAGCATATAAACTTCACCAGCTCGTTGGATCATATGAGCTGACGGAATTAAGTACTGCTGAGGAACAAAAGAAGTCAAAACAGTTTCGAAGATTGTGAATATTAATTGTCATAGTGCGCAGTTATATAAATATCAGCATTCAACACGAACGTTAAGTTACGTTACAGGATAGCCAAGTAATCGCGATATTTGTGTTTCCTTTTGGAAGGCATGGTCTAGCAGTTTAATGCATATAAGGACATTCACGGCGTTCACGGCCCACATTCAGTTGTAGAATAATTCCACTAAGTCCACTTTTCCGAACGGGCAATCGTCTGTAATTATGCTAAAATAAAGTGAGTTTTAGTTGCTAGCAGAGTCCAGTGAGCCTACTGTTTGTTGGGAAACAGTATACATGTTATTCCACATAAGAAAAGCTACGTTACGGTAGTGATTTTTATCTCCTGGTTGTTAATTGCCACGAAAAAGTAGAAACTGAAACTGTAAAACTTGCCTGGAATTTGTATATTTGCTCTTTATCACGTTGTTCAGACACAATTGCAGAGTATGATGCCAGGCTTGGACATTTGTCGTTCACGTACTGGTTTTCCATTATTCATTTCCGCAACTCCAGTAATTTTTGTTGGGAATTACATATGAATCAGCACCATTAGAAAGAAAATTGTCATCTTACATATAATTTTCATATCGTATACGCCTTTTTGGGCTTTATTAGTATTATTATTTTTTTCCCTGTTTGAAGTTCACACTTTCGAACCAAACATTGTGTTAGGTCTTGAAAGCGTCCAATATAACCTATATGGAAGTGTATAGTATTTTAATCCTGTTATTGCTGAAAGATGTAACAGTCAGGTCTTTCTGATGCCTTGAAGGGACTTTTCAAAATAACTGTAAGGGTAAAGTTGTCCCTGTGTTTAACTAATTAAGAACTACACCATGAAGGCGTATGGGGGAGTGGGTGTATAGATCCATAATGTTGTATTTTAGCGTCCTGTTGCACTGATTTTCATCCACGATACGTATGTAATGGCCGTCTTGTACTGCACTCAATTTCATATGTCGCTTCTTACTACATGTTTCGGCAACATAGTGCCATCTTCAGGTTCGTTATTTACGCTAAGCTATTACATTGTTTTCCATCTTGTGTCTTTCATAAAATTATTTATAAAGTACATTATTCGTCAACTGTAATGAAATTTGTATATACTAAAACTTGTTAAGAGTATTCATCTATATGTCATAATTCAAACTCGCGTATAGTATGGTTTGTCCACTATGGGAGTCGTTTCTGTGTGTACTATGTTTGTGATGTGACCTTCTTTTCTTGGCTGCGAGCGTTGCTTGACCTCGACACTAGTTGGAGATGAGTGGTCAGCTTCACGCCCTAGCCGCTTTATCCCAGGGGAAAGAGCCCCATTGGATAGGAGGTTGGGTGGACCCCAGAGCTGGTCTGGACAACGTGGAGACGAGAAAATTCTTGACCCTACCAGGACTCGAACTCAAATCACTTGGTCCTCCAGTCCGTAGCTAGCTGCTATACTGACTACGCTATCTCAGCTCACTTAAAAATAACTGTAACTATTAAAATGTATGAATCATTTTCAAAGGTAGTAGCTAATTCTGTCTGCAATAGTGTGGTCAGCAGACATTAAATGTGTTTAAGTATGTTTGAAATGATTTTTAAAAATCATGAAATCCAAATCACGTGACAAAAGTTCAAATCCCACTGTATTTATAAACCTTGGACAGTGAGGTCACTAATTGCTGCCCTCTGAAAGTGTGCACTATAAGGTGATGCAAATGTGATTTCAGTTGAGCTTATGAGGCTTACAACAAAGTCTGTGTACTCCAAAAATATTTGAAATTGTTCATCCCAGATGAATAAGCTACACTTCAAGTCAACATCAGGTCAGACTTATACAGCTCAACAAATTTCTCAGCGGTTATTTGTAGATAGTATTTCTACATTATCATTTCTTTGCATTGGGCTTATGTTTCTTACAGGATATTGTGAATATATGTCACATTCTGGCCTGCTGTGTTGCTTTCATTAATTTGTTCCATTTGCAGTGTCGGTACCTGAAGAGGAGGAATCAGAATTGTGCGTGTGTCCAAAGTGTGATTCTGGTACATCTTATGGCTACAGTTAATGATTTTACATTAAGTCATGTATGTCTGACAGGGCCAGTGTTCTACAGCTGCTGCTAGACATTATGAACAAATCTGTAAAATCTATTTTGGATGTGGTGTAAGTTCTGTAAAGTGAATCAAGTCAGATGCAAACCAGCTGAGCGATCTTGTGATGATGTATGATGCATCATATCCTGTCTCTGATCATGTGTTAGTCAGCAGTAGTAACATAACTTAAGCTGGGTGACTCATATACAATATCTCTGCCATAAGTTAAACAAGCTCTTTAGTTGATTAAATCCATATGAGACTCTGTAAGTTTACTAGTTNGAACACAAGATGTACACAACTCATTATTCTGACATTCACAAGTATAACACTAAAGGAAAACAGGATTTGTATGTACAAACATGCAACACTGTTCCTTGCAAAATAAGTGTAATTAACATGGGAATTAAATATGTACACAACAGCTTGCCCCCTGAATTAAAGAGAATAGAAAATTTTAAAGATTTTAAAAATAAATTAAAAAGGTATTTATTACAAAACACTTTTTATTCTCTGCAGGACTTTTTTAATAACAATGATGGACAGCAGTTTGGTGGTTCGAGTTGGTTCTCATGTGGTGTGGTTGTATATAGATGGTATACAGGGGCGTAGGGTACATGGATGTGGTGGAAGCATTGCTTCCCTATAGAAAAGCAACCAAGAACATTTCTGGCAATTTTTCAATTTCAAAAAAATATTTCACACTTAAAAATATTAATTAATCTGAGAACATATATTACATATAATGAGAATATTGCAAGTTTTAATGTGTTACATAAACAATTTATCAGGATAGATCAGTTATTTTCTTCCAAAATGCAGGGAACTTTAAACTGCAACACGCACGGAAGCAGCAGGTCTTTCGCTTCCACCCTCCACTGGGTTAACTGGCTGACTCAATGTCAATGTTGTCTGTAAGTGAGTTATGCGTTATGGTATGCTACCAGCCTCGTGCTTCCAGCAATGTTGCCAGATGTAAGGCATTGCAGTTTGCAGTAGAATAGTCTGTGACCTTGCAGTTAAGCGTGCTTACTAGTTTTCAGAAGGTGTTAGCGTGTCACTTATGCACAAGTCAGTTTAGTTATTATTCTGTATTTTTCTCGATATAGAATTTGTTTTGCTTTGCGTAATTATAACTTTATGACAGTGTTTCTGTGATTGCTGTTAAGTTAAAAATAGAAACATGATACTTTCATGTGATAACCACTGTGTGATTGAAAAACTTCTTCAAACACCGTTCAGTTCACTCAGTTATAATGAGAAACTTAAGATAATTATCTTCTATTATAATAGAAGAAGGTGCACCTAAGCCTAATCTAACTTTACATACAAAAGTGAAATCTTGCACACGGCATTTCAATACCAGTTTATATGAGGCTATTCCATGGTTGTGTGGGTGTGATAAACTAAAAAAATTATTCTGTTGGCCTTGTCTCTTGTTTTCTAAAGAAAAACACGTGTTTAACAGTGCTGGTTACAATGACATTAACAACATTTACAAATCTGGCAAAAGACATGGGCATTCAGTTAATCACATTGCTTGTCTTAAAGAAATTACACTGTTTGGTAAAAACAGAAGGATTGAATTTTCTCTAAGCAGCCAATACAAACAGTCAATTGAAAAACACAATGAAGCTGTGAAACAGAACAGGAAATTTGTAGGCCAATTAATTACAGCAGTTTGTTTTCTGGGCTCTCAGGGTTTAGCATTTCGGGGACATGATGAAAGCGTGGCATCTGTTAATAGAGGAAATTACATTGAGGTTTTAAATATGCTGGCACGTTATGATTCTGATTTACACAATCATTTAGAGTCTTCAACTGCTTTCCGTGGTTCTTCTCCTGACATCCAAAATGAACTGATACATTCTGTATCTGAATTGATGACAATGGAAATTAAAAAGGAAATTTCAAAGGCTAATTATGTTTCTTTAATTCTTGATGAGACTTCAGATGTGATGAATAAGTGTCAGTTGGCTTCAGTTCTTCGATATGTGACAGCTGATGGCAATGTTGAAGAAAGGTTTCTGCGTTTTACAGACGTGAGCTCTGACCGTTCTGCCAATTCCTTGTTTAACCATGCTCTTGAGATTTTAAATGATTTTGAATGTGGTCCCAAACTCATTGCACAGACTTATGATGGTGCTGCTGTTATGGCATCACAACATGCAGGAGTACACGCAAAAATTCGCGAGCAGTACCCAAACGCCATTTTTGTTCATTGTTACGCGCATACATACACACAAAGATACATAATTTCACAGATCCATTGTCCGGGAACCGGACTGGATATTGAATTCGTCAGCAAAATGCAATCTAGTCTCAACAATTAAAATATTCAAGAATTATAAAATAAAAACACTAGACTAAATTTAGTCGTAGCACAATCTGCTAGTTTTATTAAGGAAGTTAAGGTCTTCTTTGCTACTCTCTCTGGCTTTAGAACTTTTTTTGCCAAGTCCACAAAAAGGACTGAAGCATTGGATTCCCACCTTAGGAAAAGATTTCCTTCTATCGCACCTACTCGATG